TCAAGTATTGCGCGTGAGATGGCAAGGTATGGTACGTGATCACGTCCTCCACAACTTATTTTCCGCCCGGTGCAGGAGTTGCGGGCGGCCAAACGGCATTAGCCGTTTTACCCGTTTCACATGCGTTCTGCATATCCATTCGTTCTATGTCTTGCTCGACGGCGGTTTTTCAAAGAAATACTAGAGTTTCCAGTAGAAAAGACAAAAAAACGCTGTAAAAAAGTAAGGAGAATTCAGAAAGATTGGAGATAGGGTGGGCAATGGGAAGCGGGGGTGGTACGGAGAGGAGGAACTTTTTTGAAATGGTCGTATTTTGCAAAATTTCTACCCAAGTGCAGGACGCGCCCTGTTTTGTTGAGAATCCCATCGGAGTGTCATAAAACTGCCCCTACGACGGATGGCTTCACTTCGTCGAGACCATAGGGCCTGGGGTAGAATGCCTGTTTGCACCTGCCACACTGTGCAATGTGAACTTTTAATATTCGATCCACATTAAAAGTTCTTTTTGCTATCCCCCACTTGTATTTATTTATCCATGTAATAAGCACAACAGATTGATCAACTGGGTAATCTTCGATGGACGTTTTCGATTGAAAGTATTCAGATTAGGACTGGAAAATCGAGTCCTATACAGGGGATGGCTCTTGCTTTATCACTATCCATTTCCCTGCATATCCTTCTAGATCCAACTAACCAGGAAAGGTCAACAGGTCAACCCGGCCATTTTCAATGAGGTGCACACCGTTGTACGCGTCTTGGGACAGTGAACTCAAATCTACCTTCAGAATTTGCGGAACGATTCTCTGAACGGAGTTATGGAGGATTTCATTCCCGCGTGGTTGTTCTACACGCTATCCCGATGAAACCTGGAAGCGTCCTTTCATATATGTAGAGAGTCAGCACGATACGTGGAATAGGGCGCGCAACAGGATAGCGTGCGGGTTACCAGTTTAGTGGTCGTGGAATCGACGCGTCCATAGTGACCTAACTCATATCCCTTCGAAGTTGAGGTCAGAATCTCAGATTTCGCTAAGCATGCCGTCGCTAGTAGTTGTTTGCCGCCCTGAACACGAATATGATTCCTATTTTACACGAAGAACGTTGAAACTTTTCCGCAACTTTTGAAAATAGTTTTGAGTTCATCGTCCGGGGCGAGTACAGCGATGTGCACCTTCATTGCAAGATGACGGTGGAGCGGATGAACCTGGATGAACCCTTCCTAGTAAGGTGCATTCAAAGAAGCTGCTGAGGATGTGCCTGCTGCTGTGCTTGTGCTTCTCGACCTCAACCATAATACCGCAAGTTGTTTCCACATGTGATTTTTGAGCCTATCGACAACCTACAGTCAGTCGATGCGGGGCCTACGCTTCCATTCAGCGTATGTTCGCTGTAGAGTCCTCATCGACGGGGTCGGAAGCTATTTGGAGGGTCGTGTGTGGTTCAATGAGTTTTCTTGATCGCTGTTTTTTCTCATCACAGGTTTGCTAGCACGCAATAGTAACACTCCCCTTCTGTCGCCCTCGCGATCACAAGAACTCATTGAACCGTGGCGATGCCGTTCATCGGATACCTACTTTCTTGCCTGTAAAGCTTTCCGTAAACTGCTGCATTGTGCTGACTATAAGGTAGTTTGCTTCAACCTCACTCGAGGTCAATAATTCAGGAATGGTCCACATTCCGGTAGGATCGCCCTCTCCAACTCCCGAGAAAATCATAGCACTTTGTTCTCCGGGACCACCCTCACGTCGGCAGTGAGATCGCTTCGGACTGTTCCTAATTCATAGTCGCTAGTGGAATACCACCTTTATATATTTATTTATATAATCCAGGTTGCTGTGACACATTCTTTCCTCGGTTCGCCTTTTAGACTGCTGATCTGGATCCAAAATTCCAAGGGTTTTTCGTGCGGATTTTGCGATTGTCGCGCCAAAACCTTCATCTCCACTCAGGATCGTCCCTGTAATGAACCTGATTCTTGCGACCCCTTTCCTCGATGCATTTTCTCTAGGGTAGGGCAGAGGGGTCTCGTTTGGAATAAAAACTTGCTGATTAACATGAGTTCCCTGTGTCGTTACTCTTCACGAACTCGGGGAGTCCTTTCAAAGAAACGAAGTGGAGAGAGGCTCAGCTTTATGAAAATCAACCCTAAATAACTCCAGTTTTCAATAAGTATCAAGTCCTAGATAAAGCTATAATAATTCTGCACCAGCTCAATAGCAGACGTTCAGCAGCTTATGGTGTCTGTTGTGCTACGATGTTTTGGGCTATTCGAAGCGTGAAAGGGCTCAGTGGGTGACAAAGTGAGCACGTGATTAAGCCACGACGCGATTTTGTTCTCTCGAAATGCTATGTAATGGTGACGTGAATGCCATGCTGCCATCTCCGTTGACACCGCCTACCGAACACGTCCACTGACTCGAGTTCAATATCTCAGCGCGCATAATGGGGAGGTGGTTGTCGTCCTTCATCCCTATTTTAATTATTCTACAACCTAAACCAGTGGGCGGATTCGACATCTTCTCTGAAGGTAATATCTGACTGAGCTAGAAATCCCTGGACCCTAAAAGGTTTAGCATGGAATGGGCTGTAACTAGCCCATAGACTATGGGACCGCCTTTCCGAATATTTTAAAGATATTTTCCGATTTTGTTTCTGCTTTACTATACAACGATCCTTTCAGAATGCACATCACAACGATGTGTGCTGACGGCCGCTCGTATTCTTTCAAAAATGGATCCATCGGTGGATCCTTGTGTTGATTTCTACGACTACGCATGTGGTCAATGGATCAACAACTCTGTAAATCTCAATTATCCCTCATGGAACGTTCTCTATGAGACGAATATGAGGGCCCATGATAAAATAGTTCATGCTATGCTTAAAGGTACGTGATGCTCTATACTCAGCTAGTTAATTATTAACAAGAGACAGCTTCCTAAAAGATGTATCTTCTTCTAATCTTCTTCATCTTAACCTACTGTGAACCGCTGTGCCACCGTACCTCTTACATTTTTCATCATTTTTACGGAAATAGTCAATCCCCTGTTTTGCCTTTATTTTCATTCTTTGAGGTATGCTTCTTCTTTTCTCTTGATTGAGCTTCCTACAACTTCAGGATAAATTCAGGGGCGAAATATGTAAAATCATAAGAAACGCCGCACATAGGAGAGATGTATGACCGCGCATGTATGTCGCGGGGTCCGCAATGTGCTCATTAGCTGCTAAAACGTTTACGTTGTCGCTGATATAAGGTTCTTCGTGGCTGTTTGCGCCGGGTGGGGGGGGGGTCACTCGCAATTCTGCTAGTTCCTTTTGCTAGTACTTGTTAACCAAGTCTCACTTTGGTGAAACCTGCGAACTTCTGCGATGCTGCGAAGTGGTGCAAATGGGCCACTTCGCCTCCAAGTTCACGAGTATTCACAATGTGGCCTGTACAGTTTTTGATTACCATCTGGTGCCCCCACTAGGCCGAGCTATGCCGTTCTTTCTGTAAAAACCTTGACGCTTTGGCGAATTGGCATTCTCGCTGGAATCGTATTTCAACTTTTGGAATTTGAATCACGTATAGTGCACCCTGTGTACGCTGGGGACCGGGGAGTTAGCATCTGGTCGGTTAGAGGAGGCGGCCTGTAATAGCCTTCTGAGAAAACTTTTCCATAGTTTATTTCTACTGTTTTTCCTTCCGTGTTATCCACAACGGTGTGAGACCCACTGGAGGTAGCATATGCTAATGGCTCCAGAGAGGGGGGGGGGCGTATCTGGCCTCACGGAATTTTCTTCCGTGCGCGAAACATTTTTTCCAGTGTCAACTTTTCTCAGTTATACAGCTACAATTGTAAACTCTTGTTGAATTTATTGTTGAATTCAGTTGCAGTACGGCGACGTCTTTTCTGGAGGGGGGAGGGGGAAGGACTGGGAATTTTTCGAAGAACTGATACGAAGTAGCGAAAACTCAGTGACATGCTAGGTATCACGGGGGAAAGGGGTACCAGAAGGGATAAATCTGGGGGTCGGGTCCTCCAAAAATTTTTTCCGCCCCCCCCGTGGCAGAAGTTTCTTGCGTGCGCGCAAGAGTCTGATTACAGGTTTATTACGCATACCCCCCCCCCCCACCCCCCCCCCCCCCCCCCCCCTTTGATTGAGCCGCAATTGTAATCGTTTTTTGCTGAGGTCCTTGCTTATTGGAATATCTGGTAGGTTGGTCGGGCAGTCACTGCGTTCCACGGGTATTAGGGGAAATGATAGCGTAGAAGATGCCCTGGTGATGTGCGATGGCAGGTCCTTATTTGTGAAGTATGTTGATAAGAGCTTATGATCATGGCACAATTTGTTGCCCAGTTTCTGCAAAATCCTATGTGGATCAAGGTTTAAACCGCTGAACACCTCATCCGCGAGTATTCCCCACGAAAAATCAGGAAAACAGCTAAAAACTCATGTGCCGCGTACCGTGCCTTCAGGGAAGCGCAAGGCTTGCAAAGCACTGACACACATCGTTTGCGAGTCCTTAGATTAAACCTTGTATCTACTAAATTAATAAGCGGTTTCTACAGTTCCTAGCTAAAAGTCCTATGAACTGATGATGGCACACTAGTTCTCGTTCCCTAAGGACAACTGAAGGAGTGCGATGCCTTTTCAAAAGTGTGGTGACGGGTTGGCTGAGTCAACTTTCCTCAGCTGGAGCTTTTCGCCCTCAACAATCCTCCAAGCGAGAGGAGGCGTTCGCTGGCGTAGATGAAAATAGATAAATCTTGAGCCACATTTGAGCCTTTAAGCGAGACTATTTGATCTATTGTTAGGCCGTCAATAAATGTCCACCATGACAACATCGTCAGCGCTAGGAGCCTTTTCAAGTTGTCATTATTCCTCCCGAAAACGATTTTGCTCGTACAACAACTAAAGCCTACTGCCTCCCTTATTGTCACCATGGATATGATTTCATAGAAGAGCGACTATAACTAAATGCGGAAATAATATCCCAGAAGAAAGTATCGCGATGTAAGAAGAATATATTTGGAAATGGTAGAGCAATGGGAGAGGGGGGGTGTGACTGCCACCCTTCATTTTTACTGCGAATTTTATGGAAATGGAAGCACTGATGCGCGCTGTTTGTCAAGGGGAGGGGGCATTTTATATCTACCATGGTAAAACTTGTGAACCTTGTGAAGCTGGAGCAAGATCGTCTAGCCACCATCCTAAAACGTGTCAACTCGAGAAAAGGCTACCTAGATGGGTCGGCACATCTATGGAAAGCAGAATGCCCCCCCCCCGTCGACAAACTGCGCCGCATTGATGTTTCCCCTCAAGTGTGATTTTTTTCGTGGTTTGAAACCATCAAGCAGCGCAAAAGAAGGGTTGCAGAAGGGCCTTCATGCGTGGCGTTTCTATGGGGGACTATTTGTTCAAACGCAGCAGTACTGCAAAGTTTTGAGTCAACTAGCTAGGACATTCTCTGCTAGGTTGCAATGGTGCTGACAACCAGGAAAGGGCGAAGATGATTCCATTTGCCACCAGTCGTTTTAAGCTGGTCACTCCCCTAGTCAAACCAGAATACACTATTTGGAACGAGAAAAAATTGTGAGATGAGAACTTATGGCAAAATTAAACCCATTGATTTTAAACACGATCAAGTTGCGTTTCATCTGAAATTAGAACACAGAATGTCGAGTGATTTGTTCGCTCGTTGAGTCACTCCGGATTGGAGGCCATTGCAGTAGGATAGCATTTTAGCTCATCGCTGAAATACGAAAATATAGCGCTTTTTGTTATAGTTGGCGATGTTGGCGGAGAGGTGGGCGTTTCAATAACATATTGTGCGAAGCTGAGATTGCCGTAATGGAGACGGAAATTCTAGCCTAAGCCTATGATACAGGAGCTTCATTATATTCAAATCCATTTTTGTGCACAGGGTTAATTGTAGGCTACAGTAACCAGTAACTACGGTAATCGCAGTACTACGATAATTCTCGTTTTGCACGATGAACTCATTGCATGTGTCACTAGAGTACATCGTTTATTGGCGAATCCCATCAGAGGAGGTGCATATTGAAGTTGGCGTTCAACAACTTTTTGCTGTTAACTTTCTCTTTTCAGGTGCGGTATTCCACTTCCCCCCCCCCTTCCCCCACCTACCCAACTGCACTAGTCCTCGCAGGGCGGCAGGGACGAAACTATCACTTCTGGTAGTTTATGGGAGGTACTTACCTCCCATCTCCGCTAAATAGCAAAGCTTTGGGAATTTTCGAAGGTTATGAGCAGCTTGGTTCGGAGTAGTAGCGAGACTTTCCCTCTGAAAGGATGAGTTTGTATCAGCACAACCATTTCACAATTCCAGGTGATTTGTACTCACCCCACCGTGTCTGTCCCTCCTCCGCACTTCAACGAATGCGATATTTTTCGGTAGTTTCTCCTCGAAATAGAAGCATAATGAGATCCTGTCGTCCGGCATAATTATGTTAAAGTCACAAAAAAGACAATTTGTCCTTCGAATTGGGCATAATTTTAAGTGTTTTCGGAACACATGTTTCAGCTTACTGCAGCAACAGAGCCCGCAAAACAAAAGCATGTTTTCAGTAATAGACGGCGACTCCAGTGTTCCCTTTAATAGAGGGGAGCGAGCTGCTGTTGAATTATTTCGTCAATGTACTGACATGGACAAATTGAAGACGATCGGCTTGAACACGTGGCTTCGATTTGTTGAGGTAAGAAAGTGCTTGTTTCCTGTTATGATGTGATTCTGAATGCTAGCTTAGAAGCTCACATAGTTTTGTAGTATCCTCTTTCATTTTCTTCGCTGCTGAGCCAGCATTCAAATGTTTCCATTTCCTATGTTAATTCTATTTTCTGGACTTTGAGCTAATACAGTTGGATTCCAGTGCGCAGTTTTGCTGGCGACAGACTTTGCAGCGCCCACGCTCAGACTGCGGAACTCAAAAACTTATGACGCGTTTGAAGGGCATTACTTCTAGCAACCATCTTACGACCCCTTTTTTCACTCCGAAAATGACGAGATGCCGGACTCTAGTCCAACCAACTCCGACTGGTTCTTCCGAGAACTTCCGATGCTGAACGTTAGATCCCAACTGGCAAATAAACGTTGGTATGAAGAAGAGGTTCCGTGACTGTCAGCGCTCTCGTGCGCGTCACCTCAAAGCGAATCTTCCGATAGACTCCCTCCTCACTATCCCTATCAAAGCATTCTACCAAGTAGTAGTGCTTCGATTCAATTTCAGTTAGTTTCTGACAGAAGAGTGCTCATGTTATTCGGAAAGTTACAGTTAGAGTTCCAGGACGCACTTGATGACCAATACCAACTGTTGTGCCCATTAGATATTTGAATCTCATTTCATTTCAGTATTGTACAATTCTGGTACCTCACGAGGATCTAAATGTTGTGTGGCACAAAAACGCTCCCACAGATTAATTGCACATGAACCTAACGTCTTGTGCAATGAATTTTTGAGAGCCCATTTGTGTTTCACAACATTTAGTACACCTCATTGATAAGAACATACAGCGCTATGTGTTGGGTAGAGGGAGATGACGTGGTTACTCGCTATTGTTGGCTGGTGGGAGAAGC